GATTGAACTCTTCATAGGTCTGGTGTTTCTTTGTTGGGGGGGCGGTGATAAAGATGTGCTAAAATTAGATTATAGTGATGGTTGTACAACTTTGTAAATATACCAAAAACCATTAAAGCATAAACTTTAAATGAGCAAATTTCATGATGTATGTGACAGCTGGACCATAAAGAAGGCTGAGTTCAGAAGAATTCACACTTTGGAACTGTGGTGTTGGAGAAGACTCTTGAGAGTCCCTTGGACTGCAAGGACAACCAGTCAATCCTAAAGGAAATCAGTCCTGAATACTCACTGGAAGGACTGATGCTGAAGTTGCAATACTTGGGCCACCTGATGCGAAGAACTGACTCATTTGAAGAGACCCTGATGCTGGGAAAGATTGAAGGCAGGAAGAGAAGAGGACGACAGAAGATGAGATGGTTGGATGGCATCACCAACTCAATGGACATGAGTTTGAGCAAGCTCAGGGAGATGTGGAAGGACAGGAAAGCCTGGCGTGCTGCAGTCCATGGGGTCGCAAAGAGTCAGAAATGACTGAGCAACTGAACAACAATAAAATCTCATTTTTAAAAAAGTCTTATAAGAAATTAATGAATGCTGAGATATAAACAAAAAGTCTACACATAAAAATATTCCAAGGAGAGAATCTGGATAAGTTAAAGATACATCTACTTTAAAAGTATCTAGGTGGCACAGTGGTAAAGAATGTCTGCCAATGTAGGAGATGCAAGAGACGTGGGTTTGACCCCTGGGTTGGGAAGATCCCCTAGAGTAGGAAATGGCAACCCACTCCAGTATTCTTGTCTGGAAAATTCCTTGCAGAGAGGAGACTGGCAGGCTACAGTCCATGGGGTCACAGAGGCAGACACAACTGAGCACACAGCACACGACATGTTCAGGCAACTCAGTTCTAAAATTATAATCCAGAGTTGTGAAGTCCAGTTTGGAAGCCACTAGTCACATGTGGCTATTCGGCAGCTGAATGTGGCTAGTTCAAAGTATAAAACATACTCAGCATAGTGATGACTTAGTGCCAAGGGAGGAGAGAGAAAAGGAAATATTTTATATTGATTACATGTTGCAATGATATTATTTTTGGATATAATGAGTTAAATAAAATACATTATTAATTTCCCTTGCTTGTATGAGTTGTGACTTCTGGTCATATCACCTAATCTTGATGAACTGGTCAAGTCCTCTGCTGTAAGGGTCTCCTAGATTATCTTCAATCTGCTCCCTCCCCTCATTCCTTACTTCCTCTGCAGTTCTACATGAAAGGAACACTGCTGTCTCTACGTATGGTTCAAAGGAAGAATGAAGTTATATAAGCTAACACAACTTACCTGAGAATCCCAGCAACTAAGGAATGCCCAAACTTTGCTACACATTAGAATCAACCTGAGAGCTTCAAAATCCAGTGCCTAGGTGACACACCACAGCAACTACAAGAAGAATGTCTGGGGGTGGGAACCATGAATCAGAATTGTTAAATCCGCCCAGCGCCGCCCCACCCCCCCCCGCCCCCCTGGTGGTTCTAACATGCATCAAAGTTTGGGAATCTATGCACTAATCATTCAGGCAGGTGGGAAGCTTTAGGGAGTGAGAATTAAAATGAAAGACTCAGAAAACTGGAAGAAGATTAAAACCCAACCTCTGCATACTAAATCAACCCCAAACAAGAAAGGTATCAAATTATCTATATTCGTTTTTTGGCCATGTCTGTTTGGAGTCTCAGATGAAAGTACCCTTTTCAGAGTAGCTGATTCCAAAATTTTATTAACCCACCAGGGCAGACTAATCTCCCAAAGTAACTATAGCAATTTATATTCCTATCAGTTCTCAAAATTATACTAACATGTCATTTGGTGGCTTTAAAATTATGCCCTCCTAGAGAGTTTGTTTTTTTTTAACTTAACAATTATTTAGGACTAATTAATGCTTGGTACTAAGAGCACTACAAACACTAATTCATTTAAGTTTCACACTACCAGTAAGAGTACAGATACTATTATTATCCCATTTCATACAGGAGAAAACCGAAGCAAAGACAGGGTAAATAGACTTGCTCAAATGGTGGAGCAAAAATGCAAACTCAAGACAGTCTGGCTCTGAAGTCCATGCTCTTAAATATAAGGTAATGCTGCCTCTTATTATTATTTAAAAACTAATATCTTAATCACAGATTGATAGCCAAAGATTAATTTACAAGGATGATGAGTCATATGGCTAACTAAAAAATCATACATATAGTAGAAGTACTAAACCATGAACTATTACAAATTATGTATTAAAAAATGCATTCAAAATTCACAATTATTTATCAGGTCCCTACTACATGGCAGGCAACGTTCCAGACACTGAGGATACATCGCTGTTATGGAGTACATGCCTATGCACCAGCCCCCAATTCAGACAATGAAGCCCTAACCCTAGTGAGGCTATATTTGGAGTAAGGGAAGTAAATTAAGGTTAAATACGGTCTTAAGGATGGGGCCCCAATCCAGTAAGTGTTCTCCTAAGAAAAGACATGAGAGTTCTCATTCATGCTCACTTTTTGAGTGTGTACACACCAAGGGAAGGCCCTGTGAGGACATCATGAGAGGGTGGCTGCCTACAAACCAGGAAGAGTCCTTACCAGAAACCATATCCACAGCAATCTTGATCTTGGGACTTCTAGCTTTCAAAACTGTGGGAAAATACATTTCTGGTGTTGAAGTCACCCAGTCATCCAGTGGTGTTTTTGTTATGGCAGTGCAAGCATTCTAATACAAGTAGTAAATAAGACAAAGTCTTCAAGGAGATTATAGTCAGGTGTAGACAGACAATAAACAAGATACCATGTAAATCTGGCTAATGATGCAAGGCCAAGAAGAAAAAGAAACTAATGGGAGGGTAAGATTATTTTAGATAGAGTGGTCAGTAAGGTCTCTCCAAAGAGAGTTCACGTGGGTGGAAATTTGAAAAAAAGTAAGGGAGTAAACCCCAAAGTCTGGAAGAAATGCCTTCTAGGCAGAGGGGAAAGCAAATACAAATCCCTGAAGGAGAAAATGCTTGGCCTGAGAAAAAGAAAACAGGCCTATGTTGTCAGAACAGTGTAATCAAGCGAGATGAGGTGAGGGAGTAGTGATGGCTCGAATGCCATTAAGTTATGATAAGTCATTTAGGTTCCATTCCAGGGAAATGGGAAACCATCAAGGGGATTTGAACAGGCAAGTAACACAGCCTGATTTACACTTAAATTGTTTAAAAATACACAGAGTTCACATAGGGTACATAAATAATTTGAGGGATATATCTGTACATAAAAAGCTTGAACAGTGAAATTCTTTCTGGAAAAAATTAAAAAGCCAAACTCCATTTACTTGATCCATGTTATCCATTCTAAACTGAAATGCAGGTCCATTAAGCTGGGCTAAAACAAACAGGTAGCAAGTACTGACTTAATTGTACAAATTTCTAGAGTAAAGTTTTCCTAATTTGAATTGTAACTCATTCAAAAGACAGAGCATCAAAAATGTTCTTCTTGGGTAGCTAAATGGTGAGCTACTGAAAGAGGCTAGGCTGCCCTGTTTTACAAAGAGCAGCTATTTAAAGTACTGAATGGGCTTCTCTGGTGGCTCAGACTGTAAAGAATCTGCCGGCAATTAAGGAGACCCAGGTTTGTTTGATCCCTGGGTCAGCAAGATACCCTGGAGAAGGGAATGGCAACCCACTCCAGTATTCTTGCCTGGAGAATTCTATGATTTGCAGAGATGATCCAAAGTAGTCTAAACACTATCAGTTCTTCCTCAGTCTTCTAGAGAAGACAGTCCCTAAAATACCTATCTACTCACACTGAGCTTAATGTTTTTTACTGGTTATCTGTATATAATCTTTTGGGTTAATTGTAGGTGCCCCAACCCACTCATGTAATTTCACAGTAAAGAAAACACAAAATAAAAACCTTACCCCCCTTATCCTTCCAACCCTATTTTCCCTTTAGAATACATTCTGATCCACAAAAATAGATGGGAAATTTAGAAACATATATAGAAATCAGGCATAGTCATCAAAAATACCTAGAAAATGAACACAAGTCCTTAAGTTCTGACACTTTAATAGCCTCAAAAGAAAACAATACTTCCCCTCACCCCTACACTTACAAGCTTAATAGACATACTATCTAAGCAGAAACACATTTTCTATACTATTGTGTCATTAACAATGCTAGGAAAATAGTGTTCGTTATTAGGCAAACAAGTATATACAACTGAATACGTAAAATAGGCCAAATAATTAAAAACTTAAACATTTCCAAACCTCGTTGCTGAATTGGCTCCCCACCTGCTTCTAGCCACTGGCTAGAAATACAGAGTTACAGTCAATGGTAAAAAAAAAAAAAAAAAAAAAATTTTCTAAATACTTATTTTCAAATACTAAAATTTTTATTTCTCAAAATATCATGCAATCAAGTACACATTTAGGTTAAATACACCAAAGTTTTTCAGAAAAGCAGGCAATATCCGTGAAATTCTTAGCCAATCACAATAATCAAAAATATTTATTCTATGAATAAGGAATAGCAGTTTATTAATGTAATTCAGTACTAGAAAAAATGTGTAAAAAACAATTTTATCTCCATTATACTCTTCATTATGGATGAACAAAAAAACTCAGTTAAAATTCAATTCTTTTTTCCCTAAGAAAAACTTTTTCATGAAAGATTTTGCAAAATATGTCTGTGTTTCAAGCAGTGATAATATGGAAAGGGTAAGTCGTTCAAATGTGCTCCCTTCCTTCCCAGCCACCATCACAAATTACTTCATCAAAAACAGGCACAGGCTGGCAAGCAACATCCAAACACAATAGTTTTTCAACAGTAACAGGAACCCCAAAATAGAACTTAAATTTACTGTAGAAAGGTACTATATTTCAGAACTGAGTATTTTGGTTACTAGAGAAAAATGCCATTACATTTAAATCCCATTAAATGAAAATAATCAAAAATAAAATTTACTTACTTTAGCAATCTGCAGCAACACAATGCAGTGTTTAATTGATTCTACCATGCTCTACAAAAACAAAATACTGATATTAGGATCTTGCCCCCAATAAAATGGCCAAATAATGTTAAAGCTTAAAATATAAAAATCAGTTCAAATACACAGGATTTAAGTCTTCTCTACATAAGAAATACCCTCTCTGATTTCGAGTGGGTTCTAATATATGTGTGTGTGTGTGTGTGTGTGTGTGTCTGACTCTGCCACCCCTTGGACTGTAGCCTCTAGCCATGGATTCTCTAGGGAAGAATACTGGAGTGGGTTGCCGTTTCCTTCTCCAGGGGATCTTCTGGACTCAGAGATTGAACACAAGTCTCCTGCATTGCAGGCAGATTCTTCACTGTCTGAGACACCAGGGAATATGCTGATAGTGTCAAATGAAATTATTAGCAATTCTATGAATCGTTTGGGAATGCCAGAAAATTGTTATTTTACACTGAATAACATCTAAGTATGGGACCGGTGGCATAAAGGATAATGCCTCTGACTATGGATCAGAAGAGTCTGAATAACATCTAACGGGTTTTTTAACACTTCAAACAAAGGTATATAAATCTAATTAACTTCCAAATTCTTAGATAAACAGCAGGCTATCTCAATGTAAATTCTCAAAATGTCTATTCAAGACTTTCATGGAATTACAGAGAATAAAGGATCCTATCAAAATATTGGTGAACCTACAATATTACTATATCTGTATCTAAAATGCTTTCATCAAAATAGAAATTTTATTAGCCGTCCAGTATGTAACGTCAGGAGGCCAGAATACCAGAAAACTCAAATATACATTGTACACAGATAACACCTTTTATCCAAGGATCTCAAAAAGACAAGACCAGAAACATAAAACGGCATATGAAGTCAATTCAATTAAAGGGATTCTTCTATTCATTTAAATTCCTTTAGAAAATAACAGAATTCTTAAACTCTAGTAAAAATTCATAAAAATTAAAATCTCAATTGCTCTTATTAATAGTAGCAGCTTAAAACAGAAACATTTTAAAGCACTTTCTAATGTAAAGCCAGAGTTAATCAAACACATAACTTACATTTGTTGTCTCTTTGAGGGTTTCAATTTTCTGTGAAAAATAAGTTTAAATAAACTGTCAGAAACACAAGGAGATATCACTGCTGTTTTTTACTGGTTAGACATTTAAAAATTTTTTACTAAAAATGTACTCATTACTCTAAGTGAGTTCAGGCAGGTTGCAGAGTGGTTTTAGTTGTACTTCTTAATTTAAATCAAACATCTAAATAAAAAATTCAGACACTTTATGGATTACATCCTCAAACAAAATTCATGTGATTCAAGATTTGTAACAATAATATAAAACATTCTTACTTCTTACCTGAAAGCAAGTTTCTTTTCTATAGGATATGCTATGTGATTTTAAAATGCTTATTTTAGAATCACTTTAAAGGTTGCAAAGCTGCTTAAAAATGACATGAAACTAAATTTCAAACCTAAGAAGGTGAGCTGAACATGACTCACTACTATTACCAAGTGTAAAAGAGCCAAATGCAAGGCTATGGCTAATAGAAATGCAAAAAAAAAAAAAAATGATGGTGCATCAGGAAATCTAGTCAAGGAAAAGGAAAACATTAATTGAAAAAAGAAAACAATATTCAAACTACAAAGTGGTTATCAGAAACCCAAAGGGAGAAACTATAATTAAAGCAAAATTCATTTTTTGTCCTCATCTGTGGCTTTGGGTTTATTTTGAAAATTTTATCAGTTGCCTTATTAATATCTGAAGTGACCACATATAAATTTAATAAATTTCTACCTTCAACATATGATCCCTCAACAGAAAGAACTTATTCCTAGGAAGGTGGTACTTACAAAAAGGGTATCATAATAAAAATTTCAGTTATTCTTTTGTTCAATTATGAAACTATACCAGAAATGCACCAGAAAACTCCCCTTAAAATCTATATGGCACATTATAAGAGGTCAACAGTACTGTTAAAGTAGTCAAAATACTGAGGTCCTTCTATTACTTCTCCAAAAGGCTCCTGGTTTAAAATTTTTTTAAGTCAAAATCATGATTATGGAAGTTACCTTTCTCTGTTCATCATCTTTGCAGTTTTGAAGTTTATCATCAAAAAGCTACAGGATTAAAAAAAAAAAGACTATAATTATCAAGCTACTTTACTACATTGTATATGTTTACTAAACAAAGAAAAACAAACATATTTCTTCTGGGGATGATTTATACATGGATTAAAAGTATAATGTTTCTTAAAATACAAGATAACATGTATTTTTCCAAGGCATTGTTATCAAGTCAAATTCTACTGAACTATCTTAAACAGTCAAGATCAATTACTGTGGTAGCATTACAAAGCAGAAGAAAATATATGACTTTAAGAACTTAAAATGTCAGTTCGGAACCTGTTTTTTTCCGCCTTGTTTTTCAAGTTTGTCAACATTCCTTTTTCTTTCCAGGACCTTTGCTTGTATTAATTTTAAAGTGGGAATTGAAAGAGATAATTTTAGTAATGATAAAAAAGAAATAAAACTCTTCCAAACCCCTAACTCACCCAAATAAAAAAAGGCCTTAGAAACTAAACCATTTGAAATTTACCAGTTTCAGAGAACTTTTAAACAAAATATGAAACTAACCTTGTTTTATTTCCTTCTAATTATTAGGTTAGTTTTTAAATGGCTGAAGGAAAAAAAAAATTGCTGAAGGACTAGTAAGCATTGTAAAGTAACATTCAGCTCAGTTGCTCAGTCGTGTCTGACTGCGACCCCATGGACTGCAGCACACCAGGATTCCCTGTCCATCATCAACTCCTGGAACTTGCTCAAACTCATGTCCATCGAGTCAGTAACATTAAGTAACTGTTTTTACTCAAAATCAAGCTCTGGAACATTTACTACTTTGTATCAATTCAATATATAATCGAATACCATACCTTCAACTGTTCTATCAAGATTTGTAGGTATGCATCAGCCTCTGTAAGTTTCTTATCAAAGTCCTGGACACTAGGAACAAATCCTGAATCCAAACCCTAGAGGGGAGAAAAAAAAAATGCAATAAATTCCAGCAATGTCTAATAGCACAAAAGATCATCCTTCATACATGATACTTCACTTTTCTAAATTAAAAATAGTCTTTTACATAAATAATAGGTCTATTTAAATTATCTAAATTCTCCAAGAATAGTTGGTACATCAATCTCCTTCATGAACTTCTAGCACTATTCCCTTCTCATCAATTACATGTGCTGCTGTCCAAATTAGGATTTATCCTGCTTTTTCAGAATAATTTCCTTCTCTCCCAAAAGCCCCATACTGGGCTCCAGAGCAACAATAATTAAGCTAAAGGAACATGCACAAAACAACCTAGATTATCCTCCTATTTCCCCCTTACTTTTTGTTCAATTGAATCCTCCAGTCCCCTAATCTCAACTTTATATTCTCACTGTTTAGTTCTCCTGTTCCCTAAATTAACCCATTAGCTCAGATGTTTTCCTCCTCCTCCCTTATTTAAAAAAAGAAAGAAAACTCAAAATTCTCACCTCTTCTAAGAGGGCCCTCCCTAAGTGAAAGTGACAACACTTCTGTCTTAAGTTCCCTACTCATTTTCCCCCTTGGAATGAACACTACACTCTTGACATAGTGTAAATGTTTATTTATTTAGAGGGCCCACTTATTTCTCAGTTTTACAATCCAGAATGTGCATGTCCTACTTTTTGTACACTAAAAATTTTAAGCTCCAAGAGTACAGGATTCCTATGCTTTAACTCTACTCAAAAGAAAGATTTGAGTTAATCATCTTTGACTGAAAAATATATAAATCTTGGCTGTAAAAAACAAAACAGTCCAAGATCAAAAAAGGCTATCATCTTGCCATATTTTCATGACTAGAAGTCATGCAGTTAAACAGAGAAATAAGGGTCAGGAACCAATAAAGTCACAGTAAACCCAACCCAACCACAAAACTCTGCACTAAAAGGCTGAGACACAGTGCTCCAATATAACATACTTGACTTTCAGTTGTTTTTTTGTTCCCCTCTCCCTTTTGCCAAAAAACTGCTTATCATTTCACATTCTCCATTTTAGTCAGTTGAGGCCAGAGATCACTTTATATTAAACCAACACCTCATCGTTGCCTAACACTGTCATTGGCAAAGCATTTTCTCTGCCATGATCTCAAACATCAGATTGACACAGTATAACATTATGGAAACAACAATGGGTTGGCAAACCTGGTTTCTAATTACAGCTAAGCCACTAACAAGATAGTGTGTTTCTCTAAGCTATTTTCTTACCTGCCAAATAGAGGCTCCTCCTCCTACTATTATTAATGTGGCAGCTATGACTTCTACTAAAGACTATAATTACTATCAATAACTACTGTTACTACTGCTGTTCTTCCCAAACTAAAATTTAAATTCGTAAACAAAGCATTAAAAACCTAACTCTTATTAAGATCATGGGAAAAACTAATCTTATAATTCATTTTCTTTTTCAAATTCAAAGGCAACAAAAACTGCCTACTTTTTTTTCACATACACACTAAGAAACTACTTGAAATGAGTATTGAAAATAAGAGATGTCATGTAAAAACAAAGTGTAAGAAAAAAATAATAAGCAATATATGTAAAATCCAGATATATTTATAAAATTGTTAACACCTTCATTTTTAAAAATAACCCCAAAGACACTATTTTAGAAACTTTTCCTTCCTATGTAGAATATGATGATAAAAGATGTAGGAAAGAAAGGATAAATCCGTCACATTCCAGAGATACTACAGTATTGTACTAAGAAAGTAGGGAGTGATTCCTTTCAATGTAACTACACCACAGGAAAATAGGAAGGACTGCTTGGCTTACTTTTTGTTTCAAAAATGATATAATTATTAATAACAACTATAAAACCTCATTAAAATCAGTTAGATACATTATTCTTGCTAAATATTAAAAAGGTCAATGGCATACTCATAAATAAATAAAAAGGTGAAGGATCTAAATGACACAAAGTGATCTTCAAGAATTTTCCCTCTTCTGAATCCATTTAGAACCACCACTATAAAAATTTAATTAACATATCCTTCTAGACAAATCACTATTCGATTAAAAATCCCCCAATAAATAAATGGAAAAACTTAGATTTAAATTACTAAGATCTGAAAGCTACCTAAATTAAGTCTTAAAAACAACTGCTTGATTTTACTATTAATATAATCATGCGAACCTCACTGTGGCTCTTTTCTCAGACCTCCTCTCCCTAGACAGTCTTCCACAACATTCCTTTACACCCTTAAAACCCCCAACATCATAACATCCAAGTCAAAGATCTACTCAACAATCCATTTTTCTCTATTAACTGTATAATGGGAAGTTTGTAACAACAGTTATTAGCTTAAAACCCCAGAACTGGCCTTAACTCTCTTGAAGAGTAAATTCATAAATCTTTGGTCTACCTTAAAACAAAATCTACATATATAGTTTCCCATCTGCAATCAATAAAATAACATGTACACATTGATTTAACAATGTGGACAAGCAATTGTTAGTAATTAACCTATTTTCTCAAATCTTTTAAGAATAATGTGCTAGAGGAAAATATGTTTTAACTACATAGTGTGACTCAGGAAAGTGAAAGTGAAAGTGAAGTCGCTCAGTCGTGTCTGACTCTTTGCGACCCTGTGGACTGTGGCCTACCAGGCTCCTCTGTCCATGGGATTCTCCAGGCAAGAACACTGGAGTGGGTTGCCATTTCCTTCTCCAGGGGATCTTCCAGACCCAGGGATCGAACCTGGGTCTCCCGCATTGCGGGCAGATGCTTTAACCTCTGAGCCACCAGGGAAGCCCCCACTGTGACTCAGGACATAGAATTAAAGCCATGTAGTCCAACCTCCTACTCAACAGCAGTTACACTTATAATGTTCTTGAAAGTCATCTAGTATTTGAGTATCTCAAGAGAAAAGGAACTTATTACCTTCTAACATAAACGATTTCATAAAATCCCTTTATTCCTCTTTTCATTCAACATTTAAAATATAAGGTACTACACTTATCCATATCCTTTTTAACAGACTTGTGTTTTTAAAAAGGTCATAAAAATAGAATATAGTCCTTTACTATGTCGAGAGTGGTCTGTCTTCTTTTGAATAGAACTCAGAACAGGCAGACCCTTTAAAACACTATGACTTCATACTTCCTACAGTGACATCTTAGCTCTTGGGAACAAGCAGGTTGGGAGCCAAGCAGACTCTGTACTTGCCTTTTAATCTAACACTTAGCACATTTTATCATATCTAAATACTTACTTGACTGACTTCCCTGAAGGATTATAAACTCCACTAGGGCAGAAACTGCCACTCCTTCAGCACTGTACACTCCACCCACACACAGCTCCAGGCGAGCTCACTGCTGAGCACACGTGTGCTGCACTGACGGCAGCTTCTGGCGGCTGCTGGTGCCGTGATACCAGTCTTCCCCACGCACGGCTTCCTAGACTTCCCCTGCCTGCGTGCTCTTTCTCCTTCTCCTCCCTCGGTCCATGTCTTTCTTTCCTTCTCTTTTTTCCTTCAATAGTAAGTGGTTATGCTGCATTTTTGGCAATCAGGACCAAAAGAGGTGGTTGCTCCATAATTTACCACATTGATGAGCCATAGTTCTAAAGATGATTTCTGTATGAATTCATTTAAAGTTTAAAATAAAACTATTATAGAGAAATAGAGACAAAATGGTTTGTAATATAAAATAAGCTAAACTAGAAGAAACTCAATAGATATTATACCTAAATCTAACCATAAAATAATCTATGTAAAGAAAAAAAAACCACTTATGTGGCAAATGTGGTTTTTAAAAAAAAAAGTCCCTAGTCTTCAAGAGTAACTTGCTAATTAAAGAAAGCTAAAGTACATGTATAAAGTTAACAGTAACACATAATTCTCTATCAACCAAGATCTATGTATCCAGATTAAAAATATACACATAAAAAGGCAGACATCTGGCCCAATTTAAGGGGAATTCCAAAAATAATATCTAAAATGAAGGAAGAATATTAAACTGCCTCAAAATTGTATGTAAGTACCTCCCTACTATTTTTCTAATACTTATGTTGAATATTATCACTTTTCTCAGAGGTACTTGTAACACATCAGCAAAATTAAATGGAATTTCTATTAATAACTCTAATAGGGACATTAAACATTATACTTTGTACATATACATAACTGAATACTTCACTGCCATTAGAAAGAAGAGTATTATAAAGGATGGCTTTAATACTTTCTGAAGTACACAGGAATTGTACTTCTTATGTAGCTGCTTTGGAGAGACACTTAGTAAAATAGTACAAGAGGCAATTTTTGAGGCAAAGAGTAAAAGCTTTTAAAGTAATTCCTGCTGACAGAGGAAGACTAATGAATAGTGGAGGCAAAGGTGGGGAAAGGTGGTTTAAGGTCTTCTTGACATCAGAATCAGGAAATAAGAAAGTTATGAGTAATTTAAGGAACTGAGAAGAATAATGCAGAACAGGAAGGGCTATGACTGAATAACACTGTAAAAAGAAATTCACAAATGAGTAATTATTTTCATATCAAATCTTATTTCACAGCAAAAACTTAAAGGACTAAGTACCCTATACTCAGTGCTTTCTCTTATACAGGACAAAGTAGTATATAATATGTTGTGAAAAGAGAAACACTGAAATTATTCCATGTAGGTCTCATAGGAAAGTTCAGAGTAACATGAAAACCAAATAAGTGACCAGTAGCAGAACTGTAAAAGGGAATAACAACTTAAAATTTTAACAAAGGAAAAACACCAAAGAAAACAAGACACCTAATGAAAAACAAATGGCATAATCCAGACAAAAGTAGGTGATTTTTAAAGGAAAATTAGCATAACACAGTCCTTAAATAAAATGATAAAAACTTTGCAGAAATGTTGTTTTGATTAAATATGAGTATTTGGAAAGTTTATATTCACAGTTAGCAATTTGAGATGACATGCATCACAGATACGCTTTCAGCCAATGAAAGAAGTATAGG